CACGCACTTCACACACACACACACTCACACACTCACACACATACACACACACTCACACTCACACACACTCACACACACTCACGCACACGCACACACTCACTCGCACACACTCGCACACTCACACACACTCGCACACACGCACACACACACTCACACACTCACACACACACTCACACACTCACACACACACTCATAACACACATGACCGCCCCCTCTACACCCCCGCGAGAGGCTCCTGCGCACAGGTCACTCCGGCACAGCCCCAGGGGCACCCGGTGACACACCCAGAGCTCCCACAGCACAGAGGTCCTACACAACCTGCACATCACCCACTGTGTGCATTTGCCACACGCCAGTCACAATCCCTGTGCTTCTTCCTTTCCCAGGAAATGAAGTGTGCACCAGGGGTCCCAGGCTTCAGAGAGCTCCCAGGGGTCTCTCCCCCCAGGGCACCTCTAGGGCCCTGCTCAGGTGTGGGCCCCGCTCAGGTGTGGGCCCTGCATGTGGGAGCACTGCCCGGGAGCATTGGGTCCTGGTTCTGGCTGGCCCTCTGACCTGCTTCTGACCTGAACCAGTGCTTGCCCTCTTGGGGCTCAGTGTCCCCAAATGGGCTGCCAGCTCTGGTACCTCCCCTCAAGCTCAGGGCAGCCCCCGGGTGCTCAGCTAAGGACAGAGGTCACTGCCACCTTCTCAGGGAAGAGTCTGAACTCTCAGAACTCTGCTAACTCCCGGCCTACACAAAATCTCACTAGAGCCCTTGGTTTAGCTCAATGGGTAGAGTATCAGCCTGTGGACTGAAGGGTCACGGGTTCAATTCTGGTCAAAGGCACCTACCTCGGTCGCCCTGGTTAGGTGCGTGCAGGAGGCAACCAATTGATGTGTCTCTCTCATTTTGATGTTTCTCTCCCTGTCTCTCGCCCTCCTTCCCACTCTCTCCAAAAATCAATGGGAAAATATCCCCAGGTGAGGGTTTTTTAAAATCTCGTTCGAGAACATAGGACCAGGGACCCCACATTTCCCAAAGAATGTTCCTCCAGATGCTGGACCCAGAAATGCTTGGGAGTGGGGTGTGTCAAAGTAAGTTGTTGTGTTTTTTTAATATCTATATATATTCTTTTTTATTATTATTGACCTCAGAGAGGAAGGGAGAGAGAGAAACATCAATGATGACAGAGAAGCATCCATCGGCTGCCTCCTGCACGCCCCCCACTGGGGATCGAGCTGGCAACCCGGGCATGTACCCTTGGCCAAAATTGAACCCGGGACCCTTCAGTCCATAGGCCAACACTCGATCCACCGAGCCAAACAGGCTTTTTAAAACGCTGCATCCACCCTAGCTGGTTGGGCTGGATGGATATAGAGCGTCGGCCTGTGGACTGAAGGGTCCTGGGCTTGATTCTGGTCAAAGACACATGCCTGGGTTGCGGGCTCAGTCTCCAGTGGGGGGCATGCAGGAGGCAGCCGATGGATGCTTCTCTGTCACTATTGATGTTTCTCTCTCTCCCTTCCTCTCTGAAATCAATTTAAAAATATATGTTTTGTTAAATGCTGCATCGAGACTCCTCCCTCCTTCTTGGGAAACTCGTGGTCACTTCATGAGAAAGTCTGTACCCATATCGGCTGGTACGGCAGATACCATCTCTCAGCACTGGAAACTGCCATGGTGCCTGCTGACAGCGAGGTCAGAGGGGGCAGAGCTGGTACAGGAAAGCGCTGTGAGCTCCCCAACTCCTTCCACACCATCAGAATTAAATGATGTGTGCAAGCGCATTCATTATCCATAAAAATAAAGTTTTCAACCAATAAAGGTTCTGAAAAGCTCTGCAGTAAAGATTGTGGTTTGACTTTATAGATCCTGGTGTGGGCTCCCAAATTTAATTCCCCACAGCAGTTTGTGGGTATGTTTTGTTTGCTTTTGTTTGGGGGAATCACCTGTTTACAACCAGGGGCAATGCTTTGCAAGTACTTAAGTCTAATGCTAATTCCTCAGCTCTCACAGGAGGAAGCAGAGCCCAACAGGGCAAGATTCACACCGTGAGGCCCAGTGGGAGGCGGCCCCAGCCTCGCCCCAGCCCCTCTTTCTCCTCTCCCAAGCTCTGCGCTCAGACACACACCAGGCCGCCCTCCCAACACACCCCTGCCTCCCTGTGGCCCCATGTCCCCAGCCTCTTGTACTCCTCCCACCCCAGCCCTACTCATTGTGAATATTTTTAACTTGGCCAGGGGAACCGGGTGGAAGCCTTGGAGAATGAGACTGTGGTTAATTATTTTCTCATCAAGAAGCCTAAGCAGGGCCCGGAGAGAAGGCACGGGAACCAAGGGGCCTGAGGACAAGTGGACGGAGCAGTGAGGGGACTTGGGGACCTAGCAGGGAGTGGCGAGGTGCCCCTGGGTGCCCAGGTGCCCAACACTACTGAAGAAGCTGCAGCTCCTGCAGGCACCACACTGACATGTTCACATGCACAGTTACACACACTCACATACACACACACACACTCCCCCACAGTGGGCATCGAGCCACGCGGGAGGCAGCTGGGAATGTACCCGCTTCCCCACAAAGCAGAGCCTCCTCATCCGCATCCGGTCCCTGGGCATCGGCAGCACCGAGGGTGGAAATGCGCAATTAAGCATCACCTCCATTATCGTCCTCTTGTGGATTCTGCGCCAGCCCACCAGGAAGCAGGGACTGTGGCAGGGAGACACGGGGTCTAGACTCCTACCAGAGGCCCTGGGTCCTAGCCCAGACTCACTACCAGGAGTGCTGTTCTTGGGAGCCTCCATTTCCTCCTGCAACGTCAAGCGCTGACTAATCCCAGCCACACCTGGAGAGAGAAATGGTCAGCGGTTCTCAACCTGTGGGTCGTCACCCCTTTGGCAGTCGAACGACCCTTTCACAGGGGTCACCTAAGACCATCCTGCATATCAGATATTGACATGACGATTCATAACAGTGGCAACATGACAGTTATGAAGTAGCAACGAAAATAATTTTATGGTTGGGTCACAACATGAGGAACTGTATTTAAAGGGCCAGAAGGTTGAGAACCACTGGCTGGAAGCAGAGAAAGTGCCCTAGGGACGTACACTTGACCTTCGTTATATCACTTTGGACGAATGCCTTCCCCTCAATTGCTACATCTGTAAAGTGGGCATAATAGTCCCCCTATGCAGGGACTGCCTCTGAGCTGCAGCTCCTTCATCTGTGAAATGGGTACAGGGACATCAGTCTTCTTCCTACTTCATAGCAAAGCATGTCTGTCCCCAGGTCTCAAACCAGT